TCCTTGTCTTTGTGTGTTTTATCTTAATTGGTCCACTGATCAATAGTTATGGTTGAATAATAATAATAATCTACGCTAGAACTGAGAATTATTACTTGCCTACTCCTGTTACTCCTCGTGTAGGAGCATTCTCCGTCCAACTCTGTCCTGCACAGTAGCCATTCATCCTTTTGATGTTTACTGCTAATTCCAGATGCACTGTGTTCTTTAGTCTTCTTTTTTTCGGTTTCTCTTCAGAATTCCAAGTCGGCGGTTGCTTCATAATGCAGTTTGATTTCCTTAATCTGTGTCCTATCCACCTCCATCGTTTTTTCCTAATTTTCTCCCCAGCTGAAAGTTGACTTGTTCTCGCCCACAGTAAGTTGTTACCGATAGTAATCAACCGATGGACATTGAGTATCATGAGTAGACAGTTGTTTATAAATACTTGTACGTTTTTGATTATGGTTGTAATAGTTCCCCAAATTCCAGCTCCATGCAATAGTACTGTCTTGACGTTCGTATTGAAGATTCTGATTATAATGCTGGCTAAACCGAATTAGAGATTCAATATACACCCAGCTTTAAGACTAACGAGCTGGATTTCATGAACATAGATCACGTACCAACCAAATGGTGATATAGCAGATCACTGTCAAGCAATCAATTGAATGGAACTTATGACCATATATCAGCTTCCTTGATTGTGATAAGTCATTCGATAGAATGGATTGCGGTACCTTCTGGAATCTTCTTTGAAACTACACGCTACCTAAGATCGTCACCGTCATAAGGAACTCCCATGAAGGACTGGATTGTGAAGTCGTGCATGGAAGGCAGCTCAAAGATGCGTCACATAAAGCTGCCTACTTTTATCTGTTTTGTTTCTTCTGGTGGTTGACTGGATTATGAAGACCTCTACATCTCGGGAGAACATGGAGTACAGAGAACAGATTAAATGCAGCTAGAAGATTTGAACTTCGAAGATGACCTTTATCCTGATCACAGCGACAAATCAAGACAAAGACTCTCAGAGTAGCAGCCTCTACAAAAGTAACCCTAACACATTCACAAGCGGAAAGCAAATTCCTGAAATACAACACAGCGAACACCAACCAAATCACACTTGATGGTGAATCTCTGGAGGGAGTGAAAACATTTAAACAACTGGGCAGCATCGTCAATAAACAAGAACGATCTGATGCAAGTGTCAAGGCGCAGATTAGCAAAGCAAAAAGATCATTTTTACAATCGAAGAATATCTGGGACTTAAAAACTGTCACCCAAGGAGAAAATCAGAACTTTCAATACAAACGTTACTACTCTTTTATTGTACGAAGCTTAAACTTGGAGAACTACCACAATCACCAGGAAAGTATAAATATTTTTAAACAGCTGTCTACTCAAGATACTTCAGATCTGTTGATCAGAAGCCATCAGCAATAACCTATTGTGGTACAGAACAAATTCACTTTCAGCTAAGGGGGAAATTAGGAAAAGATTCTGGAGACGAGTACGGCACACATTGTGTAAATCATGAAACAGCGTCACAAGTCAAAACTTAACAAGGTAAAAGGAAAAGATTCAGACCAAAGAACGCTTTTGACTGAGAATTGGCCGTAGACATCAAAAGGACGAACAGGGTTTAGAAACGACTGTAAAGCAGAGCCTAATATAGAGTAGATTGGAGATCCTTTATCGACTCCCTATGCTCCACGAGGGGTAACAAACGTAAATGAAAATGAATACACTTTTAGAATATAAGATATCTCTTCTATTTAGTCTGTTCTTAGCTTCCCATGATATCTTGCTATTACTTTTTAGTACGATTGCTGAGCGAAGAAATCGATAAAACCCACTATTTTCAAAACATCTGACAGAAAATCCTAAATCTCTTTGAGTTGTCAAATACAAAATGTTACCTAAATATTTGCTTATTACATATGTAGCAGGCGAACTACCTCAGTAATTTTGTCTTGTCAACGAAACTATTGATCGTTCACTGGATCACATTGTAAATATGCAACCTTTATACGCACTCACTCATGTTCATATTGAATCACCTTTGACCCAGATGATGATATGATCAGTTGTGTTTGTATGTACTAACGATTCGGTCTCAGATTTTGTTCTTTGTACTGTTTTAAACTTGCTTCAACTTAAACAAACGAATTCTTTTATTCTTTGTGTATCATAAATTTTCCTCATTATGATCAACAATCTACCTAATACTACTCAATCGATGTGAAATTATCGTTTTGTCTTGATAATTATATTGTTTTTTTCTTGTTGACCATCTCATCACATAATACTATCTTCTACTTAAATGCTACCGGAGTTATTCGCTGAAACCTACCAGTGTTTGAATTTATTGACTTAATTTCATCATGCCTTCCTCCACATCAACACAAACATCTGCACTGAATGAAAGGAATATTTCAATTTTAAATTGGATTAGAATAGCTATGAATAGACGAGTTCGTTCGTTCTGTGTATGGATTAACCATGTTTAAATAAATGGGCGATTGAATAATTCCATCAACGTTACATTACTTGTTTTGGTAAAGAAACACATACATTCAAACACCAACAGGCGTATCCCAAATCTTGTATATTAATCAGTTAGACTACATACATGATTTTAATTGGTGTTACCATTTGATTGAACTAAGATAGGAAATATCGGAATCCAGTTAACGCCATAATAATCCATTATTTATAAAATTATTTTGTGTTAGTATTGTTCGTAGCAAATATTTACCATTTAATTGTTGTTTTTTGAAAACAAAAACAATTGAGGAATGTGTTATTTAAAATTGATTGCTTATTGGGTAGTGACCAGTGTCATATGTGTCAGGTCTTTCATAGTACAGATCAACTCCTGTCGACCAAATTGCAATGTGGCCACTAGTCTAGGTGACTTTCAACATCACGTGCACTATTTTGAGCTGTATGGTAGTGGTTGAAGGTAGTCGACAAACAACCATATACCTAGGCTTCGTGCTGTTTGGCACTCGTTACTAAGGTATACCTGTAATCTTGAAAGAACTGATGCTCCCTGACGAATTCGATCTTGTTTTACTCAGCTTCACAGCCGGAGACCGTTACTACTGACCTCCAGTAGGACCGATATGTTTTTACAATTGATTGATCATTGGATAGTGGCAAGTGTAATTTATACCAGAACCTTTTTAGTACTAATCGAATTCTATCAATCAAGTCGCAGTGTGGCTACTAATGTGTTGGTTGATATTGCAACAAAACGTTACGTGACTTTCTATATCTGGTTAATGTAATATTTGATCGCCTAAATATGACATATATTGTTATATGAATAGAGAACAGGAGCAACAACTTAAAACATTCAGAATAACGTGAATTAATTTTGATTATTTGGTCCTCATCGGCTTTTTCACATAACCTGTAAAGTTTTTAAATTGAAATTTCAAATAAAGTTCAACATGCTCATAGAATTCACTTTCATTGTAAAATACATACTCCAATCTTCAAACAACTTGAAAATTTTTTTTGTAGGTCAAAACTATGTCATATTCAAGGGTTCTATGAGTGAATAACGTGATTATTTATTATTTGTAGATAAGGTAGTGTTCGGTGAATGGACACACAAACGATTGTTACTCAAAATATCAACACTGTCAGAGAAAATTCGATATAAAGAAAGTAATAATACGGTTGACTACAGTGGGGGGAGAACTGGAATAAAGTGTAAGACGGAATATTTGAAGAAAGTAAATAAAAAGGGTATTTGGTCAGTGTATAAAAGAGTGACATTTTCAGGATTTAAAGAACTTTAAATATTGGGTACATTTGCACTCTACTGTGATGACAACATAGTCGAAATTGTCGAATAACTGGTTAAAAGATAATCTTATCAGAAGTGTTCACCTTCCTACATACAATAGAGTTCAACAGTAAAATGTGATAATATGAAGTGACTGGTTGCCAGTCTTCCTTTCCTTGTCGTTAACAGTTTAACAACTGATTGTCACTTCGAAAAACGGAGTGACAGAACAAGACAGTACACGACATGATTAAACAGCACTTATGTAACACACATTGGAAGTGGATGTTGATTACCACCGAGCAAACTCAATGACGGTATCTCACTTCTCAATCGACAGCTTCATTACATTCGGTCGACGAATACTGTGTCGATATTTGTTTGTGACCAAATGCTTTCAATTATCTGCACATAATGTTATGTGAACAGTGTGAATAGTAGTTTCAGTGATAAAGATGTGAAGTGCAGTGTACACGTCATGTGTATCGTTGTTTCCTCTGTTGTAGTTAGTGACAAGCACTCAGAAAAATGTATGAAATATAGTTTTGTGACTAATTTTTACTGTCTACGAGAGCAAGGAACATGAAATTTGTTCATTTTTTTATGAAGACCAAAGTGGTAAAAATATATTTAAGATGGTTATTGCTTGTTTGACCTTTCGTGTACTTCTACTTGTACATAATAGTAATGATAATGGTAATAATAGTAATAATATTAGTAACAACAATAACAATAAATAATTTGACAAACTAGTTTCGACTTGCTTGTTTACCGACTATTTTCAGTTTTGATAGTAGTACATTGAAGCCAGGTGGCTGGTTGGTAGTCACCACCACCTAACTACCTACCCACTTGACTACTGATGACTAACTAACTCATTAGAGATATGTTGTAGTCATCTGGTATGTGTCATCTCTTCAAGAATCCATATTGTGACACAGTTGAGTTGACTGAACAAAACTTTCTCATACCACCATACATATACCACAAAAATCGATTTTATTAGTTCAATAAGAAAGGAGGTGATTAAATAGTCACAGATTATATAAAATAAAATGATCTAGAAAATAACGTTTGTTCCTGTTGATGTGAATAGGTGACATTGATTTTGAAATTTGTTATTGTGGATGTTGAAGCAATAATGTTTTAGATGGGATATATTGGATAGAAATGTTCTTCTTCAATTCCACAATGAGTAGACTAACAAACAATAAATTTATTAGATCTTCTTGTGAGTTTCTCGTAGATAACTATTTTGTATCAAGTCATTATTATTATTATTATTATTATTATTATTATTATTATTATTATTATTATTATTATTATTATTATTATTATTATTATTATTATTATTATTATTATTATTATTATTATTATTATTATTATTATTATTATTATTATTATTATTATTATTATTATTATTATTATTATTATTATTATTATTATTATTATTATTATTATTATTATTATTATTATTATTATTATTATTATTATTATTATTATTATTATTATTATTATTATTATTATTATTATTATTATTATTATTATTATTATTATTATTATTATTATTATTATTATTATTATTATTATTATTATTATTATTATTATTATTATTATTATTATTATTATTATTATTATTATTATTATTATTATTATTATTATTATTATTATTATTATTATTATTATTATTATTATTATTATTATTATTATTATTATTATTATTATTATTATTATTATTATTATTATTATTATTATTATTATTATTATTATTATTATTATTATTATTATTATTATTATTATTATTATTATTATTATTATTATTATTATTATTATTATTATTATTATTATTATTATTATTATTACTATTGCTGTCATAATGTGATATGAGGTAAGCACAAGTGGAAATTTTGGAGATTTGGATAATTTTGTTAATGACAGTTACCGATACCAAATGCATGGCTTTGTATTAATTTGTATGAAACGTCTGTAATGTTGTTTATTACTTCAGATTTTGCGAAAGAATCAGTCCTTGATTGTGTGTATCATTGTCATGCTGCTGTATGTTTATTAGGTGTGCTGAAATGTTGTTTGATGTTAATGAATCGAGAAACATTTTTTAAAATTTTCTTTTCCCCTTATATCTCACCTTGTATATGTATAATGATTGCGTTATCGTTTTACCATATTACTTTTGTTTATGTTGGAATCAACTCCATGTTTTTTCGTGAATCACTAATTTGTCGATTTGGCACATATGTGAATTTCTGACTATTTTTCCTTAAATTCCAGATTGCTGGTTGCCCAGCTGCTGAGAAGATTTTACTAATGAATCGAGAATATTCTGACAATTCTGGATCATTGGAAAATTGTTTAGATCTTGTTAAGACGGATGAATTGATGGATAGCAACTCGACGTTTTGTGATGAGAAATTGGTTATTTTGTCGTCAGCATTAGCAGCAAAAACTACTGTACCAGAACGTTTGCCTATTTCTTCTTCATGTATAACTTCTTCGTCTTCTCACATTTCATCTACAGCTGGATTGACTGCAACGTTTCCTACTATCATCAGTTCCACTGTTGCTACTACCACTGCTAGTAATTGTAGTGGCAAATCGATTTCAAGTCATTTGAATGTTCTTTCGAATTTACCAAAATCAGATTTACGTTTTCATAATCGTTTAACCACACATTTTGTCCCTCTTATCCCCAACAGAAATAATAATTCAACTGTTATTACTACTGTCGCTGCTACCGTGACAAGTTCTGTTACTACTACTACTACTAATACTGCTGGAAATAATCATACTGCTACTACTAGTAGTATTTGTAGTAGTAGTGTTAGTCTTATAATTAATTCCAGTGAAGATCAGAATCGTTTAATTTCGTCAACATTAACTGGAACTAATTTAGAAACGAATGATACTTCAACAAGAAAAAACATTGTCGCACGTTTTGTTTCTCGTCCATCTACTCTACTACCATCTTCATCATCATTAGCTCAACCTTTAGATGTTATTAAAGCACAACGTCAAGCTGTTTCTAAATTTACTGATGGAATAAATCAAACAATTCATCCAACTTCGTCGAATAATTTAACACCGTGTTATTGGTCATCAGATTTACAGAATTTATCACCGATTCTTACACCATCCACATGGAAACTATTGAAAGATCTAACTTCTTCCAGTTGTAATAATAATACTACTAATAATAATGGTATTAATACTAATAGCATTCAACAATCTTTCCTTCTAACGCCAACATTAAGCCCACTTTATCCTGTCTTACCTACACAAGCATTCACTTCTATTACAAGTATGGAATCACTGAGATCTGTGAGTAATCCTACTATTATTATCACTTCTACAACTACGAGTAGTCCTTATTCTTCTACTACTTTGTCTAATAATAATAACACTACTGCTAATATATGTGCTAATAATGATAGTAATAAAGACAATAATAATGGTGCTAATAGTACTGTTCTCTCTGTGATTGAATCTAATCCAACCACATATGTAAATAATAATTTGCTCATCGATCCTACTGCTGTGACGTCTACAAATACTAACAATACTACTTGTTCATCGTTGAAAACTACCTTTGATAACTGTGATAATACTGATAGCAATCGTACAAGTGAATCATCAAATATTCTTAGCAAAGATAATCACGATAAAAGTATTGTTGGTGAATCGAGTTGCATTAAACTAATGCAACAATCAAGTCAATTAAACGGACAATAAAAATGTCATTAATCGAGCAAATGAAAATAACCAGTTTTGTCTTTCCTGTATCAGAGCACTTTTCTGTATTCTTTTTTCTTCTAATGTACTTCATTTTTTTAATCTCTCGGTTGTATGATGATAATATTAACAATATAAATGTACAATAAATGATAACAGATCATTGTTTGATCTATCAATCCATTAATACAGATCCTTTAGGAATGTAAAAAAAGTTGAGACAAGTAAACAGTATGTTTATGTATGCACATACACATAATTATCCAAAAAATTACACAGATGTCTTTCCTCTGTATCTTTGACTAGGCTTCCCTCTTTCTCGTGACCTTGTAAACACAATATTGGAATATTTTCAAATCCTCACTTCGTGTATGCATGTATTGACGCATACATAAACACATATATAGAATGTGTATATTCTACGTGCATTTTTTTGACTAATGATAGTAAGTATTATTATCGTTATCATGACTCCAAACACTGGGATACATTCATGTAAAAAGAGACATACACAAACAAAAACAATAAGTTGACTAATATCTTTATTTTCATGGCAGCTGTTTATTCAAATCATCGTTAATATATATATATATATATATATATATATATATATATATATATATATATATATACAAACGCACAAGTCACGTAAATGTGTGGATTCATTTCATTTGCACTCATTGTTCATTTGTTTACCTTAGACCTTTCTTACTTACAAGTACCTTTTGTTAAACTTGCACCTTTAAAATTAATAGGTTCATGTTCATCTCTTTCATTTTGGCATATTTTTATATTTACTACTTAAAAATTATGTTAGTAGTTGGAGTTGTCAGACAACAATTTCAAAAATAGATTATGTCTTTATTTATGCAATGTTACTAGTGATTTCTGTTGATTAACTAAGGTGTCCGTCAGATTTGTTGAACTCTTTTGTGTTAATTGTCAAAGAAGGAATCATCTTCAGGGGATATCATAAATGATATCATAAGAAACAATGAATGGTCTGAACTCCTTTTTCTTTCGTTCCTTTTTGATGAA